AAAAACCCCCCCCCCCCCTTTTATAAATTCCCCTTTTTTTGTATGTATGACCTGGTCATACTCTTGACATGTTTTGTGAGCTCAACGTGTGAAAATGCATACATTTGTCAAATATTCACATTTATATTTACATCCAAATATTCAAAATATTTAAGCACACATTAGAAAGTTAAAAAAAAAAAGACTAGGCTGTATGTGTTTTACATATGCCTATACAAGTGTTCTTTGGTTTAATTTAACAAATTAACAGTGTTTGTCTTACAATCTGAAAGCATAAGCTTTAGTCTTTCAGGATGTCTCCTAGAATCATATTTTTCTTCCCCTTCTCTTGTTCTTTGCCACCTTCTCTTTTCTTCCTCTTCCATTGCCAACTTACCTTGAAGGCTGCATTTCCTTCAAGCTTTTCAAATTCTTCTTTCCTCTGTCTTTCTGTGCATCTCGTCTTCCTCGTGTTCAGCGCTGGGCCGCCTGCTCAAGAGGAGTGATCTCTGGCATGCTGAGGCTCCGTCCCTTCCTGGTGCGCATGGCAGTTGTCTCCTGTTCGGCTGCTTCCTCTTCTTCATCAGACCACGTGTTTTCTTCTTGCAGGTTGTTGCGGGAACCACCGAAGCTTCCCTTTCCACGGTTCAGGGTGCGGAACTTGGATCGGAACGTGACGAAGGAGAGGCTCTTGCTGCGCTTTTGTTCCCAACGGTTCACCCCATCCTGAAGCTCTGCATCTCCCTGAAGCTCATCCAGGCAGTTTCTTAGGACCCCCCGGAACAGTTTGGGGACCTCGTGCACCTCAGGCTCAAACTCTGACACTAGTTTCCTGAAACTTTCAAACAAACAACAAATATTAATATCTTTAAAAAGGTATTGCATGACTCATCTCTGTATTGGTCAGTTCATAGGGTTATTTAAGCAAAACTAAAAGCATAAGAAACATGTTACTTGAAATAAAATAATCCTTGACAGAACTAAAAGAAAATATAAAGAAAAGAAAAACTTTCAGCTAGTTGCCAAGGAAACACTTCTCATTTTAATTTAGTTTAACTT